AGCAATGACCAAGAATCTAACCATTTAAAATAGTACCAACTTAAGAGAGCATAGCTTGACCATTCAAAACTAGTGAGTGTAAGAGATGAATGATAGTTCTTGAGCTATGAAGTTCAAAAGACATATTTGGGGGGCAGCTAGGTGGTGCAATGGATAGAGCACTGGCCCTGAAGTCAGGAGGACCTGAGTTCAAATCCGGCCTCAGACCAAACACTTGACACGTACTAGCTGTGTGACCTTGGTCAAGTCACTTAACTCCGATTGCCTCACAAAGAACAAAAAACAAAAAACAAAAAACAAAAAAAAACCAAACAATAAAAAGACATATTTGGACTTCTTCGAATTTCAGATGATGAAGTTCAATTCCATGGCTATATTCTACAGGGAACCTAGTTTGAGAGGGAAAATGAAGGGCAAGGGGGTGGGATAAGGCAAGCTGGAGGGGGAGAGATCTACTGCAACCCTGCCAGTGACTTTGCTGATGAAAGCACATTACGGCTTCATAGGATAGGTCAATCCACAAAGTGATCCTTGCACAAAAGATATCCAGAATGTGCCATTCTGTGCTTGCAGAGTCCCATTCTCCTATCTACAATGGATTCCCCTCCCCTATAGCAGGTTGAGGTCTCTTCATAGCAATGTAGATCTTTCTATCCTTTGACATCATCTCAGCAGGCCTTAGGGATCTGGAACAATGTAGGGGAAGGGACAGCCTCTGAACTGTGGGATGTATTCAGCATGAGTTGTCCAAATGAGGCATGCTAAAGAGGGATAGGGGCTTGCTTAAATTTTTTAATTCATACACCTTACACATTTGTGCTACTTGTGATATAATTTGTTTAAAAATACTTATTGAGTATCCATTATGTATAAGATGCTGTGAAAGATAGAAATATGCATCAGAAACTGGCCTTGCTGTTAAGACAGTTAAAATCTAGCAGGGGAGGTAGGAGGTAAGAGGTGGTGTGGTATGGTGGAAAAATCAAATCCTACCTCTGCCATTGACTACTTGTGTAAACTTGAGAAAATCACTTACCTTTCTTGGACCTCAGTTTCTTCAGCTGTAAAATGAGGGTTAGATGGCTTCTGGTATCCCTTCTATGTCCCATTTTATGATTTTATCATTCTATTCATACACACAATTAAAGTACAAGCAATACATGGTAAAAAACATATAAGTCACAAAAAAATTTATAGGCATATAGGGATCACTTCCATGTGACATGATAAAAAACCAAAGATTTCATGGGAAGGTGAAATATGTTAAGATGCCATCCTAGTTCAGGTCCCTATAACCTCTCTCCTGGACTATTGCTCCAGTTTTCTTATTGAATTGCCAGCTCCCATTCTGTTGTCTCCCTAATCCATCCTCTATGCAACTGCCAAAATAATCTTCCTAAAGCATTAATCTAAGCATGTTATTACCCTCCTCAAGAACCATAAGTCATTCCCTATTGCCTCTAAGATAAAATACAAACCTCTCTGCTTGGCACTTAAAGCCCTTTGTAATCTGGCTCCATCCAGCCTTTTTAGTCCAATCCAGCAGTGGAGCAACCCTCTTGACCCAACCCAGCAGTAGATTGAACCATCTGACTGAGATGCTGTAAGTCCAGGTGAGCTGCCCTCCCGCTGGAGACAATGTGCCCTGTGAAGAGCCAACCCAGCCTAGCAGTGGAGCAATTTATCCATCACCAACACCAATGTTTCACCCCATGGTGAATTCTGTAAAGCCTCTCCAGAGAAAGGACACTGAGACCTAGCTGTTTCAGAGTTGTGAGTTGCCTTGGCCACATGTATTCCCTATGTATATGCCTTACTACCATCATTGAATTTTAAGCGTGGACCCACACTTTCCCCTCATAGATTCTGTATCTTTCTATGTCATTTAAATAATGCCTTTTATAAAAGCCAACAGAATCTATTGGCTGAATGTTAAGTAGAAATATAATGGTGGGGCTCCACGAGCTACCCTGTTAGAAGAAAAACCTCCTAGAACCATCCCTGGCAGGAGCCCTTCTAGGAACCTAACCTGCCAGTGCCAGTTGGAGAAAGCCTATAGAGGATGCTACATGTAAAACATGGGGGGCTGTACATATTGATCTCTAATGTCTCTTCCAAGACCAACATTTTGGGATTGTATAAAATAGAGAATCAGCTAATTTTGGGAAGAAGATAAGTTTAGTTTTAGACATCTTAAGTTTGAGGTGATGGAGAGATATCTGGGTAGAGATATACAGCAGGGAGATTAGAAATGGGGAATCAGAACTAAGCTGTATAATGGACAAGATTTAGGAATCATCTTCATAAAGGTAAGGATTGCATGTGTAGGAATGGATGAAATGTCCTAGGGAGAGGGTGGTATGATAGGAACTACTCCTCTTGCCTCTCCTTCTACTGCCTGACCCTGTCAATGAAGAGGTCCCACGGATGTCTACGAACCCTAATCATCGGCATCCTGCTGCAAGAGACAAACACTCATTGACCAGAAATGGGAGCTAACTCGGTTAACCCTGATACAGTTTCAACCCTTGGATAGTGTTTCTCCTAGACTTTGGGGTGTACGCCCTTGACTTAAAGGACTTGTTTGATTTTAGGATGTGTAGGACCACAAGCAACTCAATCTCTTCTGCTTCAGCAGTGATGCCAAGGAGAAATAGTATCATGCTGATATAATGCCACAGAAACACAATGATAAGATTGTGCCCTGGGAGTATAACTTTGCTAAATTGTTTTCTTTTCTTCTTCCTCCTTCTTTCTTCCTTTATCCAGAATGCTGTCATCCTTTTAGTTGTATTGTTCAAGCATAAAGTACTTATTTAATAGCCAAGATGTTGGCATACTATAGCATCTGTTCCTCTTCCCCTTTACTGAAACCTACAGATTTTTAAAGAGTAGAATGTGTTATTTTTATGTCAGGAAAAGGTGGGATCCTAATGTGGAAAAATGGCCAATAACACTGAATTGACACTATCAAAATCACTTTCTGATGCTAGCTGCCTGCCTACTAGATGGTGAATAATGAGAAATGGTAAGGAATAAGATACTCTGGATGGGATAAAGCCAGAAGACATATTTTTTCTCTTTTCTCTCTTCTTTTGTCTATCTCAATTTGGCTTTATTTTAGAACTTTTACACATGATGCACACACATTCAGATTTTATTACCTCTACAAGTAGAAGGAAATACAATTTGTGCGAGGCTGTATATATCTAGTATATTTAGGATAAACTGGTATTTGGTCCTGATTCTACTCACTGTGTGGAACTCTATTTCTTCATCTGTAAACTTAATTTCCCCCACTAAAGTCCTCCAGTGCCTCCTCCTGATGTAAAGGTGAACCTGGGTTCTCCAAGTTGAAGCCAGACCTTAAAACTTTGGGGGGGAAGACTTGGCATCAGTGTGTTAGTTATTCAAGGACCAGAGTAAAGTTTAGTTAGTAGGTGGCAATTATTTTTGGCCATAGCAATCCCTGAAATTCCACTAAGGCAAGTAGGAAGTTGTGATCTGGGTGAATTGAGAGATTTAGGAAGTGCTTGCTTAACTGAATTGAGGGAGTACCCACATTGATCAAATCATGAATCTGTTGAAATATTTGTAGACTAAACTGAGGAAGGAAGTTTGTGTCCTTTCCCAAATGATTAAGAGGTCTGACAAGAGCCCCAGGCTAAGAATGCATCCCTCCAGAACAATACTTGGAATCATGGGATTTCAGAACTTCTAGTGTCTTTAGAAAGCATCTAGTCTAAATCTCTCATTTTATTTATTAATTAGTTAATTAAATTTGTTTTAGTTTTCAACATTCACTGTTTTAGATTTTGAGTTCTAAATTTTCCCCTCCTTTCTCTCCCCAGGATGGCATGCAATCTGATATAGGCTATATATGTATAATCATATTGAACATATTTCCACATTAGTCATATTGTGAAAGAAGAATCAGAACAAAAGGGGAAAACCATGTAACTCTCCCATTTTAAAGGGAAGGAAATTCTAGGCCTGGAAAGTGAAGTGACTTGACTTGCCCAAGCTCAGGTAGTGAGAGATGATAGAATTTAGAACTGGAAGGGCCCTTAGAGGTTCAACTTTGTAATTTTAATATAAGAAAATCTAGGCCCAGAGATTAAGAAGTTTAGTTATAGTCATACACTGTTAGTTAGTGGCAGAGCCAGGGAAACTCATGCCTTTTGCCTCGAAGTCCAATTCAGGTTTCCTTCTATTTTGGGAAGATGGCTTGGTTTCTCCTGGTTCTTTAACAAAAATTTTTTTTAAAAAGTATACCATATGCTCAGAAGCAGCTGAGTTCAATGGCAGGCAACATGTGACAACTTCTTTTGAGATATAGCCATCACATCCTCTACCTCTAAGGTAAAGGTGCTTTATGAGATCAGTTCTCCTTGTCCTCTCTTTTGAGATATACTCATTCTTTTTTGGGGGGGGGGGCTAGGCAATGGGGTTAAGTGACTTGCCCAGGGTCACACTGCTAGTAACTGTTATGCGTCTGAGGCCGTATTTGCACTCAGGTCCTCCTGACTCCATGGCCGGTGCTCTATCCACGGGGCTGTTTTCTGCTCTTGATTCACGATTTTTTATTACTTCGTTTACTTTATTACTTGTAAATACACACTAATCGTGTTGTCCTTCCCTCACAGTCAGCGACTCTATTCGGGGCTCAGTATTGCGCCCCTTCAGGGAAGAAGGTACACTGCACAGCTCTTTTAGGAAGAGCTCTATTCCTTTAAAGCCCAATCTTGGAAAGGAGAGGCCTGGACCATACCATTCCGCAGAAACAGCGAGGAGAAGAGTTTTGGGGCGTAGGGAAGGGATAGACCGTGATCTCCCAGAGCTGGCCTCGAGGACTGGGCTGGGCTGCACTGGCGGGAGTTTGATCTCCGTGTGTCCTGAAAGTTGAGACTTGTCTGCTCTTACCTATCCTCCGGCACCTCCCTACGTCTTCATCACCCCCCATCTCAAGCATTCCGTCGTCCCGTCCCAGGGAGGAAGTAGTTGCAAAATCATTCCAACTCAATCCCATCCTCTATCCCGATGAGCCGCATCTATCACGACAGCGCCCTCCGGAACAAGGCGGTGCACAGCACTCGGCTGCCCGGCTCTTGGCACCCGGCTGCGTACCAGCGGTAGGGCTCCCGTCTGGGCTCCGTCCTGCGCTTGGGGCTCGGGCGGCTGTTCTCCGGGATCTCTGCACCCCGAGTCTTTCCCTGGCCCAGAGACGGGGACGGGGCGGGACCTCTGCTGCCCCTCTCTATCCTTTTGGCTTTCGGCCCCTTTCCTCCCAGCTGAATGAGGGTGGGGAAGAAGGGGGCTTGGGAGGAGTGGTCAAGGTCATTGCATTGGGACAGAGGGTGCCTCAGCTTTGCTGTACTGCTTTCCTTCTTTGGAAAAAAAAATGATTTTTAGTGGTTAAAGCGCCCAAGCAATGTTAAATCCATCCTGGCTAAGGACCGGACTCCCAAGCGTGCTGTAATCTACCTGGGTTAACTGAAATGTGCGCAAGATCTGGAGTCTGGGATGCCACTGCTCGGATCCCGTGCATCTCCTTTCTCCTGAGTGGTAGCCCCCTTCGAGGGCTCTGGTTCCCCCTAATATTCACATTTACACAATCCTTTAAGGTACAGAGGCTGTCCTCACCTCAGTCCGTTTCGGTGGAGTGGTGCAGGTATCCCCAAGTTACGAATGAGAAATTTGGCTCTTATTTTATTTTATTTTATTTTTGGAGGCAATCGGGATTAAGTGACTTGCCCAAGTTCACACTGCTAGTGAGATTTGACCTCAGGTCCTCCTGATTCCAGGGCCATCAAACTGCCCCAAAACTGACTCTTGGAGGGCAGTGGAAGTCTGGGGACTCATGCCAAATATCTAGAGACCAAGTCCCAAATTCTTTCCCTTTCCAGGCTCAATAATGCCCCATCGTTCACAGCACTCTCCTTTCAGGATATTTAATGGGACCATTCTTATACCAGTACAATCTTGAGGAGCAGAAAAGGCACAATAAATGGGCCAGGGTCACAGGGAACAGTGGCAAGGCTGCCATGGACAGCAACCTTATTTTGTTTCTATGTTTAGCATTCATTTTGAAAGCATTTATTAAGTACCTACTGTGCCTAAGGTCTGAGGAGCTCTGGCTTCAGCAATAGAAAACAGGCCAGTCTTAGAGTTGGGAAGCTCTGGGGTCAAATCCTACAGCTTAATAATCATATGACCATAGAATGGGCATCCCAAACTCAGCGTGTCCAAAACCAAATTCTTTATTTGCTTGCCAAAACCTACCCCTCTTCCAAACTTCTTCCCTGTTAGTTGGAGGGTTCCACTTTCTTCCCATTTTCCAGATTGGAAACCTTAGTCCAGGCCCTCATCTCCTCTCACCTGGTCTTTTGTAATAGCCTCCTGACGTGTGTCCCTGCTTCACATCACTCTGCACACATCTTTTTCCATAGAGTTGCCAACTGATTTTCCTAAAGTGTAGGTCTGACCATGTCACTGCTCTACTCAATAAACCCCAGTGGCTCCCTATTATTTCTTGTTTGGTATTTCCAAAGTTCTTTATAACCTGGCCTCCAGGCTGCACGTTATTCTTCTTCAATCTTATCATACTGGCCTACTTCCTCTTCCTCAGGAAGGAAACTCATCGGCTCTCTTGTGCCTTTGAATTGCCTACAATCCTCAGGAGACCACCTTTACTTCTGCCTTAGACTCCCTCACTCTGTCCAAGACTCAGTTCAACCCCCAGCTACTAACTTTCTAAGGCTACCTTCCATCCACACTGTATATACCTATCTGTACACCTGTCTCTCCAATTGGAGTGTAAGTACCTGGAGGACAGAGACTGCTTTTCCTTTTTCTTTGTATTCTTTGGCTCCAACTGGGTGGCCAGTTTATTTATTAAGGTTAAATGCTTGTTGATTGACTGATTGGTCTCTCAGTGCCTCAGACAATTACCTAAAACTAAATCAAATCATTACACTGGGTATAATTACACTAGTGTAATGGGTATCCCGGACAATAGGAAAAATAATTCCTGACTTCAAAGCTTACATTCTATTTAAGCTTAGCATTTTGCTAGCACCCATAGAGTAACTATATTAGGAAAATTTATTAATTCATGATAGATTTGAGTTTTCTGATCTTCCCATGTGACTGCCCCTTTAATGGTGATAATAGCTCTGGTAGCCCAGATAATGTCTCTGGTATGATTTGAACACAGTTCTTCCAACTACACTACATTAAATTGCTCTTATTTTGACATTAAGTAGATTTCTAGCTCTTGGTCACTAACAGTTCAGGTTGTTTTTTTTTTTAAAGCACTTGAAATTTAACTTGCATCACTTGTAGGCCTTTCCCCGGCGCCCGCCCCCTCCCCCTCCCCATGCAAGGTCAAATTTAGGCAAAATTTGACCTTTTGTGAATATTTTATGCAGAACAAGCCTTCTTTCCCCACTGTGCTCCCTTCCCGCTTCTAACTAGACTTTGTGAGAAGGAGGGGAGATTTATGGAAAGATTGGCACCCCAGAGGAATTATTTAAAATTTAATGGAAACAAAATACCTCTGGCATCATCTGTTTTGGGTGATTCCCCTGCCTTGATCAAAGGGCACTAGTTCATACCCACTGCAGTGGTATGAGCTCTAGTCAAACTGTGTTTGTTCTGCTTTGCATCACTCTGGCACTGAGGAGGCTGATTTAAGTATTTTAAAGAACAAAACAATCCAGCACTCCCGGGTAAGCTGGGTCTGAATTATTTTTTGCTTTGACAGATGGGGAAGCCAAATTACAGAGAAGCAAAATAACTTTCAGTACATCTCTCAGCAAGAATTTGGAGGGGAGCTCCAAAAAGGCACCTGACTGTCAGTCTAACACCCTATTAATTGCTTAATATTTCCCCAGTGCAGACCATACCTCCTCTGGCGACTTGTGCTGGCTTCCCACTGGGATAGTGAATGTCCTGTTAATCGCTGCCAAGATACAAAGTATTGTAACAGTATTAACATTGTACTCTCTTGATTTTGTACAGAGTGCTGAGTTTGTGCAATTTGGTCCTAGATGTTAACCTGGTTAAACTAGAGAACGGGTCTGTTTCTCAAGAAGTTTTAGTCTTAGAGGGGATGTAGACAATGTAGTCATTGACTAAACCAGGGCTTGACAAATTTTTCATGGGTCTAGGAGCCAGCCCTAAAACTTGGGAATGTATTGTTTTTCAGCTTTTAAGGAAAAAAAATAAAAGGAGTGGTGGTGGTTGTGGAGAAAGGCAGTGAGCTTTTGCCATAATCCACTGCTTCTCAGCTTGAGAAGGCATAACATCAGGAGATAAAGGAAAAGCAAAGACTTGTAGAGAGTGTGACCAGGAAGGGAAAAGTCAATTTAAAACAGAGGAAAGACTTGGGGGTTAAGTGACTTGCCAGGAATCACACAGCTAGTAAGTATCTGAGTCTGGATTTGAACTCAGGTCCTCCTGATTCTAGGGCTGGTGCACTATCCACTATACCACCTAGCTGCCCCTGTGGAAGCTCATTTGACTTATTTGGGGCATCTTCCTAATGGAGTGTGTTACAACCCTTCGCCTGTGTACAAGTTGACACCACAGTTAGGACAGATAGTAGATTGAATAATAGCTATTGTAGAGGCTAGGCCACCTTCTACAGACTCAGTTTGGGGGAGATTCACAGTATCTGATTAGATTATTTCCTGGGTAACTGGGAGAGTGCCCAAACCCTGGTAGCCAATAACCTCTTTGCCATATATCTCCTTTCCTCGAAGTACGGGACTTAATGGAAACCCACACTGGAGCTACTGTAGGTGAAGTCAGGGCTGAGCTCACGTTGCTCCGGGCATCCATCCAGCAGCACAGCCTTTTCATGTTACATCATTAGTATAATTTAAATATGCATGACTGAGAAGAAATGTAAGTGGGAAGAATGAAGTACAATCCTGTAGTTTGAGGAAAACATTTTCCTCAAAATGCCAGGCACTGCTCTGGTGACCAGGCAATCAAGATTGGTTGAGCCCTGGAAAAAGCTTTTCTCTATCTTAAAAGCCTAAGAATTAGGGCTTTCTGCCTTCTCCTTTGGGGCACTGAGGTGACACAGTGGGTAGAGCACTGGGAAGATTCATCTTTCTGAGTTCGAATCTGGCCTCAGACACTTATTAGCTGTGTGATCCTGGGCGTGTCACCTAACCATATTTGCCTCAGTTTCCTCCTCTAAAATGAGCTGGAAAAGGAAATGGCAAACCACTCCAGTATCTTTGCCAAGAAAACCCCAAATGGGGTCATGAAAGTTGGACCTGACTAAACAGTCAACAATAACCCTCTGCTCTGCCACCATTCTGCCCCTTATGTGTGTGTTTATGTGATCCACATGAAGATGATTCCCAGATCTTCATGAGCCCTCTTCCCTCTCCTCAGCTCTAGTCCCCATCACCAGCTGCCTGTTGGAGATTTACAAATGGACAAGTGGTTACAAGTGGTTAACTGGGCTGTGTCTACCTTTTTTTTTTGCTCCTTCCTTATGGTCTAATGGCTTAATGCATATCAAATCTTTTTCAAGCTTTAAAGCAAAATACACATCTCAGCTATTGATATCATTTGCCTCTGAAATCTTTGGAAGAGTGAACGCATTGTAAATAGAAGAGGCATTTTTCATTCTGTATAGTTTTTCTTTGGTCCTGGGTAACAAGGGTAGACATGGATGACATAGGTTACAGCTCTGTGTCAGTATGGCTTGTGACTTAGAGTTTTCATCTTATGGCTCCATCTTAAGGACTTACAGCTAGGCTGATCTCACCTTGTCTTCTCTTTACCAGGGGAAATGGTATCCTTCTGGAGGGAAACCTGGTTGATGTCTCTCGTCATAACATCTCAGATGCCAATGGCAAAAAGGTGAGCATGTAGTACTCTTGAGCAGGGGGAGTCTGTGCAACATGAACTGGAAAAGCCTTTGGGAGATTCAGGCCATGTGGAGAGGGAGGCACATATGAGCACATAATATGCCACTTGGGGGCAGCAGCTGATTGGGCCAACATTTATATTGAGATATTTAGGGAAGGGGGAATAAGCAGTTATTAAGCACCTACTATATGTCAGGCATTGTGCTAAATGCTTTACAAATATCATCTTGTTTTACTCTCACAACAACTCTGTGAGGTAGGTGCTATTACTATCCTCATTTTATAGTTGAGGAAACTGAGGTAGATAAAAGTTAAGATACTTGCCCAGGGTTACACAACTAGCAAGTGTCTGAGACTGGATCTCAAATCATTTAAAAATCCATTTGAACTCAACACTTCCTGACTCCAGGTGCTATATACATGCATTCACACGCACACATGTACACATATATGTGTATATATATGTTTATGTGTGTATATGTATGTATATGAAAATATGTCCAAGGCAGGATTTGAACCCAGGTGTTTCCACGGCCAGAACACAGCCAGATCAGATTTTTTTCATTCTTTATTATAAAGGACAGCTCTCTAGGAGGGATGCAGTTAGAAAGAGATGATGTAAAAACAGAAGATATCAATAAAAATGTGTTCCAAAAAAATACACTTTGGAGCAGCTAGGTGGCGCAGTGAATAGAGCTTCAGCCTTATAGTCAGGAGGACCTGGGTTCAAATCCGGCCTCAGACATTTGACATTAGCCGTGTGACCCTGGGCAAGTCACTTAACTCTGATTGCCTCACCAAAAAAAAAGCAAAAACAAAAAAAAAATCTACTTTAGGGCCCTAGTAATTGATAAGGAGCCAACTGTCTCTACATGTAGTAATTATATTATTACTTCTAGCAGTATGAAACCCCAGGACATTATAAAGGAGATTCCAAGCCCAAATGAAGCATAGAACACCTTAAAGCGCCCACACAGAGCATGAGACCCAGGACAGACATTCAGTTTGTCCCTTTTCATACTAACCTGTTTTTCCTACTTTTCCTAACATGGACAAATCTGTATTTTCCATGGAGACTTTTAAGTAATTGCAAGGGAGAAATAAAAGGAATACTATCATCAGCAACACACACCAAAGAAAAGTCCACAGCAAATCCCCAAAGGAACTAATAAGCGTAGTATACAAAAATTATAACTGATTCTCTCTCTGTAGAATTACATATTACAATATGATCATATATAATTATGGTTAATGATGTGTTTATATATAATATATTATATATCACATACTATAAAATTTCATATATGTGTGTGTGTGTATACACATACACACATATACACACACACACCCATACATACACACACACATATGTCAATTTATCCTGGAATATGTAAGGTTATTTAAACTAAGTAACTTAAGTAACCATAAATATCTCAGTATAAATGTTAAATTAAATACTTAATAAATAAAAACTAAATATAAATAAAGATACTAGGAAGTCGATGATCCCTGGTTTATAAGTTGTTTGGGATGCATCAATAGGCCATTTTTTTTGTGATACAGGCCAGGTGTAACAGAGATTACTTGGCTCTGATAGACTATTTGGTGAGGCAATTGATTGAGTGCTTGTAAAGAGTTCATTTGAGACTAAGTGGCCCAGTGTGGCTTTAAGGCCATCATTCCTTCTCTTTTTGGCTTTGGGATTTCTTCTCTTTTGTTGTTATTGTAGTCTGTAGTATTTTAATTGGTTTGGGATAGCTAGTGAGCCCATATACACCAAGTACTGGTCTGAGGGGCAAGTGATGATGAAACCAAAGTCAGATTAGATCAGAGCAGTAACTAGGAATTTTGACACCTGAGGCAAGTTCATTTAAGCAGTGGTAGGGTTACCTCCACCTACATCAGAGTAGTACATCTTTACTGTAGCTATATAGATCTGTTGTCTGAGGACCAACAAAGTTCAGAGAAACTTATTTGCACCTTGATAGCAGGTTTCTTAGTTTTGGGGTCACACTAATTCTTAAAGACTATAGTATGCTGCAGAAAGGTTATGATCAAAGTTGGTGGAAAAAATTAATCGCAGATCCTTTTGGCATTATAGTAAACATCCCTTCTAATAAGTCTGTCATCATTTCCTGTTATCCATTGACAGATGTAGTTTTCTGTTCCCATGTCTCAGGGCCTTAGTGATGAACACATTAGTAATAAAAAAGAAGGGATCAGAGTTTGATAAAAGGAGACTCTGACCAGCCCTAAACTTGAAAGAGAACGTGCTTTCTCCTGCCCATTTCTGTAATGAACTTGTATTCTGATGATTTGCCAACTCTCCATAAGGAGTTTCTTATTCTCTACTCTTTCACAGTGAGTGCTTAGTACTAGTCACTTCTCTGTTAAATTCCTTAGACAACAGTGGGTTAAGATTCTTTATTTCAGAGTCTTTACAAGCATTGTAAGAAATAACTATGGCTACCTAACTTGATAGTTTTTCAGTTTTCATTCATTTAAAAAAAAAAGTTTATTGTCTGATATGTGTCAGGCTTACAGTTCAATAGCACAGAGGATGCAGAAATGATCAAAAGGGAAGGCAGCCTGTGATAGGTGCCTCCCAAGGTATGATAGGTGTGATAGGTGCCTCTTCAGCTTGGGGCTAGCATCATTATGAGTGGCAGCTCCAGGGGTAGCACCTAGGTGTCCTAACTAGCCGTGTGATGTTAGGCAAATCAGGTCACCACTCTGGTCTTCAATTTCCGAATTTCTCAAATGAATGAAGGTAAATTAGATAATATCTAAGGTTCATCTATAAACTACAGGGACGTTTATTGTCATTGATGAATTTGGTAAGCCGTTTTCTGGAAACCCACACATGTCGTATATCTTTTTTCCTTGTCCTATTCCCTGTATCTGTAATGGTACTTTGGGAGCCAGCCAAGGGTATGACACATTAACCCTGCATTCTGTAATGTTTTTCAATTTGCAAAGCTCTTTCCTCCCAACCACTCTTTGAGGTAGGTAGTATAAGTATGATTACTTTCATTTTTTTCCTTTTTTTAATTTTAATTAATTTATTTTGATTTATCAACAATCACTTCCATAAGCTTTTGAGTTTTAAATTTTTCTCCCTCTCCTTCCCCACTTCCCTCCCCAACACGGTGTGCAATCTGATATAGGCTATATGTATACATTCCTATTAAATATATTTTCACTTTAGTGATGTTGTAAGTAAGAATTAGAAGCAATAGGAGGAACCACCAGAAAGAGGAAACAAAGCACAACAGAAGAAAAAAAAATAACAAATAGCATGCTTCGATCTGCATTCAAACTCCATAGTTCTTTCTTTAGATGTGGATAACATTTTCCATCATGAGACCTTTGGAGATGTCTTAGATCCTTATATTGCTGAGAAGGGCTAAGTCTATCAACACTAGTCATTGCACAATGTGGCAGTTACTGTGTATAACATTCTCCCGGTTCTGCTCACTTCACTCAGCATCAGACCATACAAGTCTTTCCAGGTTTTGCTGAAGTCTGCCTGTTCATCATTTCTTATAGCACAATAGTATTCCATTACATTCATATATCACATTCACAGTTATGATTACTATCTGTGTCTTTCTCTCTATCATTTTCCCTGCCTGTTTATGTTTTTCTTTTTCCTTTCTCCTTTTCCCTCCTCACTAGTATTTTGCTTTTGACCACTGCCTCCCTCAGTCTCGCCTCCCTTCTGTTAGCTCCCTCTCTTTTACCCTTTCTCCTTCTTCCCTCCCTTCTATCCCCTCTCCCTTTTCTTTCCTCTTTTCCCTCCTTCTGCCTATATGGCAAGTTAGATTTCTATACCTAACTGATTATGTCATTCCCTTCTTGAGCCAAATCTAATGAAAGTAAGGTTCAAACAATGCTCATCTCCCTCTCTTCTTTCCCTCTGCTGTAATAGGTTTTTATGCCTTTTCCTGTAATGTAATTTACCCTTGTCTGTCTCCTCCTTTCCTTTTTTCTCAGTACATTTTCTTAGTTACATCAGATTAATCCACCTACTTGGGTCCATTTAACCCACTTGATTAGATTTTTTTTATCATTACATCAAAGTCAATTTATACCCACCCCCTTTATGTATACCCCTTTAACATGGAGTAATAATAATACAGTTCTCAAGAGTTACAAGTGTCATCTTCCCTACAAGGGAAGATGACACTTGTAATTCTCTTATTAATAACATGTTGTTTCTTTCTATCTCATTTACCTTTTTATGTCTCTCTTGAGTCTTGTATTTGAAGATCAAATTTTCTGTTGAGCTCTGGCCTTTTTATCAGGAATGTTTGGAAGTCCACTATTTCGTTGAATATCAATCTCCTTCCCTGAAAGATCATGCTCATTTTCACTGAGTAGTTGTAATCCAAGATCCTTGGTTGTAATTCAAGCTCCTTTGCCTTTCGGAATATCATATTCCTTGCCCTACGGTCTTTTAATGTGGAAGCTGCAAGGTCCTGTGTAATCCTGACTGTGGTTCCGTGATATTTAAATTGTTTCTTTCTGGCTGCTTGCAGTATTTTCTCTTTGACCTGGTAATTTTTTTTTGTAACTGTTTCTGAAAATAGATGTCCCATTCCACACCTCCAGTCTATCACCTGGTACAGTGAGTAGAGCACAGAGCCTGGAGTCAAAAAGACCTGAGTTCAAATCTAGCCTCAGACACTAACTAACTGTATGACCCTAGGCAAGTCACTTAACCTCATTCACCTGTAAAATAGAGATAATAATAGCAGCTACCTCACAGGGTTGTTGTGAGGATTAAATGTGATAGTAATTATAAAGCACTTAGCACAGTGCCTGGCAAGTAGTAAGTGCTATATAAATGTTAGCTATTATTATTAAGAGGAGACAAGCATGCTTTATCATCAATTTTCTGGAATCATGATTGGTCGTGGCTTTAATCGGAGTTCTGAAATCTTTCAAAGTTGTTTTCCTTTACATTGTTCTAGTCATTGTCAAAATTGTTCTTCTGATTCTGTTCACTTTACTCTGTATCAGTTCATAAGAGTTTTCAGGTTTTCTGTGAATCTGTCTCTGGTGCAATAATATTCTGTTACATTTGTATATTATCATTTTCCAGCCATTCCTCAATAGATAAGCATCCGTTTTGTTTCCAATTCTTTGTTCCAGCAACAATAAAAAAGTTTTTTTTTTTTGTTTTTTTTTTTTTTGCATTACTGTCATTTTACCAAAGAGTAATAGTTTACCATGGGTCCTGGGGTGGGGGGAGCATAACATTAGCCAAGCTGTCACTCAGTGAATTAGCATCTGTTAAGCACATGCTATGTGCCAGGTACCAGTTTTTTTCTGATTCTCAATTCAACGATCCCTCTCCTCTCTGATGCTGTGCTGGTATTCAGTGGTCTAGTGACTGGGAATAGGGTGCGGCCAGGCAGCACAAAAACCTCAGGAGGCAGTCCTAGGAGAAGGTGTGTGAAAGTCATGAAATCTTGAGGTGGGGTATGGCATCCTGGGCCAGGCAAGGGAGTGACACCTGTTCATAGCAGGTATTGCACAGGTGGGAGGAAACAGTCCCTCTTCCTTTGTCACCATTTGGGGCATTGCCCTGGTCATCCCAGATTAGTTCCAGCTCTGGTTCATATACAGTCTAACCCTGCTTATCAGAATTATAGCAGCAGGAGGATCAGAGTTTATAGGGTCAGAGTTCCAGAGCCATGATGGACTGTTTCCTCCTGGCTCTGATCGTTAGAACTGGGTACTAGATGTGGCACACAACAATGGGTGGGCAGTTGTGATAGACTGATTGGACAGAGAGAAGGCGGAAAATGTTGATGGGGCAAGCCATTCCCCAGAAGCAGGTAGGACAAAGAAGGGAAACCTGTTTTAATTTTTCTCTGCTTGACTTTAGGAGCGTTACTATGTGCTGTACATCAGACCCAGTCGCATCCATCGCCGCAAATTTGACTCCAAGGGGAATGAGATAGAACCAAACTTCAGCAACACCAGGAAAGTGAACACGGGCTTCCTCATGTCCTCATATAGTAGGTATCTCATACAATTCCAGGCTGTCAGAGCATCCACATCTGTTCTATCTTATTCTCTGTAGCTCTCTTTCCTTTCACACTCCACCTCCCCTAGGCTTTCCTTATCATTGTCCCTTCTGCCAGCCTTGTCTTTCTTTTCCCTTGCTTCCAGATTTCTTCACACCTTGGAAGTTTCATCTTAGGATTAAATCAGTCTTGAAAAACTGGAGCTCAGTGGATAGAGCTTCAGGCCTCTAGTCAGGAAAATTCATCTTTGTCAGTTCAAATCTAACCTCAGACACTTACTAGCTGTGTGGCCTTGGGCAAGTCACTTAATCTTGTTTGTCTCAGTTTCCTCAACTATAAAATGAATTGGAGAAAGAAATGGCTAATTGCTCCATTATCTTTGCCAAGAAGACCCAAATCGTGTCTTGAAAAGTCAGACATGACTAAACACACCATCTGAAAGCTTTTGCAGCCTAAGCTATAACTTGGTTGGGGGTCCCTGCAGGGTTGGGGGCACATTGGTTAACCTGCCAGTCTTATCCTCCAAGTCCAAATAAATAAGAGAAGCAGATAGATGGGTGGCATAGAGGAGAAAATACTGACTACCTATCCTCTTTTTCTATTCTAGACACTATCAAGCAGGCTGACTGATTCTGTAATATTGCCCTTTATCCATGTTGGCAGGGGAAAAATGAGTTCCATTTGGAGAAAAGTCTTCAGTCAGTACTCTTCACAGGGGAAAAGAGGGGAGACACAAAATTAAGTGGGAGAAACATGTTTGGTTTTTTTTCCTTTCCATTTTCTTCTCAAAATATGAGGCATTAGGGGGCAGCTAAGTGGTGCAGTGGATAGAGCACTGGCCCTGGAGTCAGGAGGACCTGAGTTCAAATCCAGCCTCAGACATATAACACTTACTAGGTGTGTGACTCTGGGCAAGTCACTTAACCCCATTGCCTAGCCCCCCCCAAAAAAATATATGAGGTAGCCACCAATGTGTGGGGAAGTAATGTTCTTTCTTACAAACAAATCAAAAACAAGTGGGGAAAAAACAAAAAAAGAAAATTACCAGAGGTTGTTGGCCCATGGCATAGAAATTGCAAATTGAAAAAACAAAAACAAAAAATATTTAAAGGAAAAAACAAAACAAAACAAAAAACTACCTCAGGTGTTTTTGTACCTCAGCACTTTGATCTCGTGTTTGCCTTTTAGAGATTTTGTATGCCTTGTAAACTGAGAGTTGGAGCATTTTTTTTTATTTTTTTAATAAAATCAAGTTGGAAAAAAAAAATAGATGCCATCTAGGAGGTGACATCCAGGTGTGCGCCAACCATTCTCAACTGTCCTTGTCTAGCTGAGAGCCAGTGGCCTTCTTTAGGGCAGACCTTGAAAATGTTTATTGAAAAAAAATGATTAAAAGAAAAAAACCAGGGAAAGAAAGGCTTAGCAATGTCCTGAGTGTGTTAATAGAGTATGTGCCATTAGGGTTTTGTGCACTAAAGGATGAACATGTTACTGGTCTGTGTGAAATTGCCAGTGTGCCCACAGACTGCAATGCCAGTTTCCTCTACGGCAAACAGTGTTCCGTGAAAAAACAAAAACACACAAAAAAAATAATGAAAAAAAAACAAGAAAAAAAAAAGAAATATATTCGGCTAACAAGAAAAAAAAACATATGAGGCACTGTAGTCAATAAATAACAAGCCTCAGAGTCAGGTCTTCAGGACTTGGGTTCAAGACTCTCTCAAACATAGACTGGTTGTGTGTAACCCTGAGGCAATCATTTCACCTCTAAGAAGCCCAAGCGACTCTCAAAGATTCAATGCTGACTAGCAATGGGTATGGAAAGTTTTCTGGGAATCTCATGCAGTGATGAAATCACAGATATCTCCCCCAGAACGTTTGTGTGAGTGTGTGTGTGTGTGTAAGTGTATGAGTTATTTGAGGAAGGGGAAATACAATTGTAAGGGGAGGGGGTGATTATATTAATCCAATTAATATGGGTGGCTAGGTGGCGCCGTAGTGCACAGAGTGCCATGCCTGAAGTCAGGAAGACTCATCTTTCTGAGTTTAAATCTGGCCTCAGACATTTAACAGCTGTGTGACTCAGGGCTCGTCATTTAAGCCTGCTTGCCTCAGTTTCCTCATCTGTAAAATGAGCTGGAGAAGGAATGGCAAACCATTGCAGTATCTTTGCTAAGAAAACCCCAAATGGGGTGAAGAAGACTCAGACAGGACCAAACAACAACAAAAGAAATCTGAGGCAATCTAACTGAATCAATTAAAAGTGTTAACTTTTAATTGCTTAATCAGTTTGAGCAGAGTAAAGTGCTTTGATCATTGGGTTAAAAATAGATGATGCCACACAGGAAATAATTGTGACTGGCTGAGAGAATCAGAAACACCTCTAGGTCTATGAATAAAAGAGCAAGCCGATTCTGTCAGGTGGCGAACCAGTCTAGTTTGTGAAGGGGTCCCAGCCAAGCCCCTGAGAGACAATCACTTGAAAGGAGGGGGATTCATCTCCTTTCGCTGCCCCGTATCCTTTCTTTTCCCTCAGGATATCTAGAGCTTCCATCTCTGAGGCAGGGATAACCTGCCAATACAAGAGACATCTAATGCGATGTTAGGCATGATGGGTGCGGTCTGACCGTATGACAACTGGTCTACTTATTTTCCTCTCACCTTTTTTGCTATCCTTACTCCGCTACAAAGATGAAGCTGAATGGGGTAGGTCATCCAATCAATCTTTAGTTCTCCTGACCCTGATCTCCCATGGGATTTGCATAGATGAGAAAAATATAGACCCATTTAGATTAATTTTACTGCCTAACAGATATAAGAATAGGGGAATAGGGAGTGTGGCTCATTGGATTAGCCATAGGTTTGGGCAGCAAGAAACTAGGCTTCATTCCAGAGTTAGTCCCTGACTCATGGAGTATCCTAGTAATAATAGTAATAATGATGATGACCTACTATGTGCCAGGCACTATGCTAACCGCTTTGCAATTATCTCATTTGCTCCTAGGATAGATTACCACTCTGTAAAGGCTAAGATATGGTCACAATCCTATATTAGGGTTAAAATTTACTAATAAATGTAAATAACAAATGGAGAGAGATGTCAAGGTTGCTTTGAAAAAAAGATAAAAATGAAACATGTCCCTGCCCTTCCAATCCAACTTTACGATGTTTCCAAGTATTTTTAGCTTCCACTGTCAGCTTTAGTGAGGCTGGCCTCTCACAGACACACCGTGCTTATTGCTGTTTCCATGATTTCATTCATATTATCCATCCTTGCCTTGGATACCATTCTTGCTCCCATTCCCCTAGTGAAATCTTGTCCATCCTTCAGGGCCTACATCCAGTCCTGTCTCATCCAGGAAACCTTTCCTGACTACTCCAGGTCTTCCTTGATGCCACCTTTGTCTAAACTATGGCAGGCATAGTGTACAACAGACAGTTTAGCACTTACTTAGACTTTTGATGGCTCTGCAAGCTCGACAGTATGATTACTCCCACCATTGCGCACATTGTGGCCCAACCGCACCATCTTATCCTGTGGGATTCTTGCCCACGTCTTTCTGTAAATTTCCATGGAGGACCTACCCAATGCACTGGAGACCCTCCTCTGACTCTTTAGCTATTTCAGAGTTATCTGTATAGCACATACGCCCTCTCTTATCCCTCACTTTTGCTATGTGACTAAACCATCTCTTTTTTAAAAAAATTTTTTAATTTATTTTTCAATTTTTTTTTTGGCTAGGCAATGGGGTTAAGTGACTTGCCCAGTCACACAGCTAGTGAGTGTTATGTGTCTGAGGTCGGATTTGAACTCAGGTCCTCCTGAATCCAGGGCCGGTGCTCGATCCACTGTGCCACCTAGCTGCCCCTAAACCATCTCTTTTACTACTCCCCTGAGAATACGTTTATGCTACTCTTCACTTGAAAGTCATCATTGATACCATTCTTCAGCCTACTTGTGTGTCTGTCCACTGGCCTTTGGGATAGGTGAAAAAAAAAATTAGTTGATAAATTTTGTTTTAATCCGAAAGACAAATAAACCAAAAACAAAGTATAACCCCCATCAAAAATTCAGCTGAGGAGCACAAAAGAGGAATTGTTACTCTAAATGGTGTAAATTACCATTTGCTTTTGTAATGACCATTTGTTAAAAGAGAAAAATGCTTGTGCCCTTTAATTCATACAAAGTACTACAACACTGAGCATTGTTGTAGCCTGAATTCTGTTGCTGTTTGAGTTCGTCTTCATTTATGTAGTTGCAGTCCATATGAAGTGTCCTTTGCATCTACTTTCTGTATCATTTCATAGAAGTGTTCCCACATTTCTCTGAATCCTTCATATTTGTCATTCCAAGAATACTCCATTTCATTCATACGCCACAATTTATTCATTTACTCTCTAGGCACTGGGTGCACAGTTTGTCCCCAGCTTTTTGCTCTTATGAATAGTGCTTCTTTGGAAACTTGTATAAAGATAATGTCTTTCTTGTTGTCATTTGACCTCCCTGGAGTAGAAACCTCTTAATGAATAACTGGGTTGAAAGATATGAACAATTGTGTAACTTTTATTATGTGATTTCATAATGCTTTTGGAAATAGACTAATTCATGCCTCCACTGTGAATTAGCACGCCTATTTTTCCATAGCCCTATCCATCTTGCATATTTCAGCCTTTGCCAATTTGTTGGGTTTAAGGGTCACCTGCAGTTTTTGACTCTTCTGAGATCATGGTATGCCATAATTCACTGCCATATTGACATCATTGTCATCATCACTATCATTTATATAGCACCTACTGTGTACTAGACACTGTGCTAAGTAAGCACTTTACAAATATCTCATTTGATCCTCACAACAACCCTGGGAGGTCGGTGCTATTATTATCCCCATTTTTCAGGTAAGGAAAGTAAGGCAAACAGAGGTTAAGTGACTTGCCCAGGGTCTTACTGGTACATATACATAGCTAGGAAGTGTCTTGAAGTTGGATTTGAACTTGGGTCTTCTTGACTCCAGTCCTGTTACTCTATCCATTAGATTATCTATATATATATATCTCATCATCATCGTCTGCCCCATCACCAGAAGAATTATGATGTTGACTAAATGGATGGGCTTTTGTGTCAGTGAGGCATTTGGAATAATTGAAAGTACAATCTAATTTCCCAAATTCATTCCAGCCCCATGTTCTCCTCCTCCTGTTCGGTTGTGGGCCCAGCTCATTGTCTAACTGTAGTGGTTGTCCAAGATACACATACCCATGGGACTGGAGACCCAACAGTGTGCTACCAGTCCAGCTGAAAGTCGTATATCTGGGCAATCTGTATTTTTCCTCTACTTTATTTGTGGTACAAATGGCTAAGCTATGTTTGTTTTTGTTTTTTAAAGCAGCTATGGTCCTCATTTAGAAAATTTAGGTGTTGTTGCAGATCAGTGCAATATTTTATACAAAAAGGAACATCTGAAGAACTTTGCCTTAAATAGTGACTTCATCTTTTATCTTCCTTTATGACAATAATAACTGACCTTTATATAGTGCTTGAAAGGACGTGATCTTCACAAAATCCCTCCAAGTTACTATGGATCTTAATACCCCCATTTTGTAGATGAGGAAACTAAGGTTTGCCCATACTAACACAGCTAGTTAGTGTTAGAAGCAGGGTTTGAACTCGTATTTTCCTGACTTAGTATAGTGCTTTTTCCAATACACCATGAGGACTATCTAATTCCATGACCTTGGCTAATACTTTTATTGGACAAATGTCTGTTTTATGTCTCACTTCATGGTGAACCTCAGCAGATCACTGAAAGTTCTATCCATCATAGAATCTGTGTGATACTAACACATGTGGAAGACACCTCCTTTTAAGAGAGCATTTGAGGCTCTGTTTTGTTCTACTCGTTCAAATGGTTTTTTTGTAACAAAAAATGGACAGAGTAGGCATATTCCCTACACCTCTCAGTATGACTTCGAACATGTTTGTGCATTAGAAAGTCATCTGCAAAAACTTACCTATTTCCTTCTCATGTTTTCATGAAGGATGCCATCAGTATGCGTGTAGGTGCCTCTGAAAGCTTTTTTTTTCCTTTTTTGGTGAGGCAGTCAAGGTTAAGTGAGTTGCCCAGGGTCACACAGCTAGTGAGTATCAAGTGTCTGAGGTCAAATTTGAACTCAGATCCTCCTGACTCCAAAGCCAGAGCTCTATCCACTGTACTACCTAGCTGGCCCTATCTAAAAGCTTTTATAAAGCACATATGGGTCAGGAGTCATGGATTTCTTCCTAGTCACCTTTTTGTTGGGTCATGGTACTAAATGTGATCTTTTCAACTCTTTTGGAATCTTTCCCTCTTTAGAATATCTTGACAATTGACCTTTGACTGTTTTTAAAGTTGTGCCCCCTCCAGCATGGATTTCTTTTGTACATATTTGATTAGGTCTAGTTCTTATGGATTTTACTTATGGACTGAACCAGATAGCCACTGAGGTCCCTTCCAATTCTCAATGTGTGTAATTTTGAGATTTCATCTGCTTAAGGGAGCTGTTACATATGTATGTGTGTGTGTACACACATATGTATATGTGCATGTGTGCATATATGTAAATAGGTATATGTATAGTTATCTATCTATATTACTACCACCACCAACACTACTGCTGCTGCTACTACTATTACTATTGTGGTAGTTTCCTTTTGTCTATTTTATTGGGGGGGGGTGTGTAGACATATATACGTTTGTCTTTTATATTAGGTATATGTATACATACATACCTATATACATACACACACATCCCACCTCCCTATGGCATTTCATTGGTCCACATATTAGTAGTTTTATTTCACTAAATAGATTATAAGCTTCTTGAGAGCAAAGATTTTGTCATATGCTGTTTCCACAGTTCCATTGTCTTTAGCATAACAATGGGTACGTAATTGGTATTCAGTGAGCACTTGTGGGTGGGCTAGAACGTGGGATCTTCTCTACTTCACCCTCTTAAATATATACCTTACCTACATTTTCTTTCCATTTGCACTCTAGGTTTTTATCACATCAAACCTGGATTAGTGTAGCAGCGGCTTCGCTGGCCCTCCTAGACCCCAGTATCTTCCCTCTCTAATACATACTGCTTGCTGCTACTGCTGCTGCTCCTAGTACTGCCTCTACTGTTGTTGTTCAGTCATTTTTCAGTCTTGTTCTACTCTTTGTGACCCTTTTGGGTTTTTCTTAGATACTTAGATGTTTTGCCATTTCTTTCTCCAGCTCATTTTACAGATGAGGAAGCTGTGGCAAGCAGGAGTTATATAGTTATATAGTTAGTAAGTGTCTGAGGCTGTATTTGAACTCAGGAAGATGAGTCTTCCTGATTTTAGGCCCGGCACTCTATCTACTGCGGCACCTAGCTGCTGCCTCCTCCTCCTCCTCCTCACATTTATATAATGCTTTAAGGTTTGCAAAGTACTTTATAAATATTATTTCATTTGATCCTTACAACAGCCTTGGGAGGTGGGTTCTATTATTATATCCATTATACAGATGAGAAAACTAAGGTAGGCAGAAATTAAGTGCCTGGCCAGGTCACACAGCTAGGAAGTGTCTGAGGCTGGGTTCCTGACTCCAAATCATCACTCTAACCGTTATACCACACTCCTGCATACTATTGGGGTCCAGCTGCCTCATAAAAATACATTCAATATCAGAATAAGTCTTTTCTCCTTAAATATCTGAGAGTTTCTGATAAAACAGATAAAATGTAATCCCTGGGATTTGAGGGTTTTAAGATCCTAACAATAAGAAGAAGCTGTCAGATTACTCCTGGAAAGACCTCCGAACAGAAAGCAGAATCAGGCTAGATCATTAGGTGAGGAAGAAGGGCTTCTGTTTGCTCCTGGATTCCACAGGGATCTTGTTCTTGCTTTGTCTGGAAGTTCCAGGCCTCTAACAGAATCTTGTTTGTTCTGGTGGTCAGAGGTGGAAGCCAAAGGTGACACAGACAGACTCTCGCCCATGGAGTTGAGGGAGCTCGTGGAAAAGCCAGAGCTGCTTGAGATGACAGGAAGCCACACTCCAGACCAGACACTGGCATTTTGGATTCCAGAGGTTGAGATGGAGAAGATTGAGCTGGAGCTGGGTGCAGAAATTCGTCTAAAAACCCAGGGCGATAGTCCTTTCATAGGTGAGTGGTAATTTCTTTTCTCAAAGCCCCCTTGGCTTACCAGTTTTCTCACTGCTCGTCTCCCCTCACATCTTGGTTACGTGAATGGAGGGGTTCTCATGGTCCTCACCTCTAGGCCACTCCATCCTTCCTCAGTACTCACGGAAGCCCAGCAGATATTTTTCTGTGGACATTTCATGGGACATTTTTAAATTTCATGACAAATCCTTTGGGAGCCCTTAGTCCCCAGAGGGTTCTCACAAACTCTTTTGGGTGACATGTCATGGTATTATGAGATTTGTGTAATGGATCTAAGAATTACCATCTAGTACCCAAGTTGGTATTTACACACTGAACGTATCCATGGTAGGAAGTTGTGGGCTTGGGGGCTTACTCAACCCTAATTTGATTGACTTTTTGAGAATGGAACCAGCTCTCATCAATGGAAAAGAATCTTTTTTTTTTCCTCCCCATTGATAGTACTTATTCTAACCCTTTCTTTTTTTAGGCTCGCTAGCAAAACTTGAGGCTGGAACAGTGACCAAGTGTAATTTTGCTGGTGATGGACAGACAGGTGCATCCTGGACTGACAATATCATGGCACAGAAATCTTCAGAAGCAGCAGGATCAGAGATGCGAGGCCAAGGGGATGGGGCAGAGGATGACGAATGGGTAAGTTGGGAATGCTTCTTGACCCCTTGTGGTGAGTCTTCAAGTTGAGGGTGAGAGATGGGGGTGGAGACAAGGAAGAGTGTTTTCCATTTAAATCCCAGCTTGTTAGTTCTTCTGTGCCGTTTTGGAGAGAGTTAGCAGCTGACAGAATCCAAATTGAATTTAACAAACATTGATATATTAATCACATCATAATGTACAAAGCACCTCTGATTTCTTCAAGGTATAGTGAGGTTGGTGAGGAGGGACTTTCCTATTTTTTAGTTTGAACTGTGGTTATAGCATACAGTGGAATTAATCACTTTGTGGTGATCCATCTCTAGAAGAGGCAGTATTGAGGAGTGGATAGAGGGAAGTCCTTGGAGTCAGAATGACCTGGGCTTAGGCTTTGTGATCCTGGACAGATCCCTTAACTTCTTAGTACCCTGAACAATTCTTTTGGGCTATGAGTTTCAGAACAGTAGTTGATCTTTAATGGTGGAGGGACTTTCCTCATTGTTTAAACACACACACACACACACACACACACACACAGGCTTGCTACTATATGAAACTCATTGAATAATGTGATGAATGACACTGCATAAGTTTTTTATAAAGCGAACCCAAACGGTTAACCTTAAGCATCAGGTGCTACCCTAAGCCCCCTGGTTTGTCTCCTTTCCTCCCTCTCCCCTTCCTACCTCAACTCCACAGCTTACCCAAAGTCTGCAGAGTTGCAAGTGGAACCAGGGTCTGCAAAGTTTTCAGCTTTAAGTCTGTCAACAAAAATAATTCCTTATTCTTGAAAGCATTTTTGTTGCATGTTGTTTAATCAGTTAGTCAGCATGCATTTATTAGGCACCAACTCAAAGTCAGGCAGTCAGCTAGGTGCTGGGGTGTAGATGAGTATCAATAATAAAAAAATTTTTTTTGACTAAAATATTTCACAGAATCATAGATGCTCAGATTTGGAAGGGACATGAAAGATTGTTCTTTAAGTCTCAACTAAAATCCCACCTCCTACAGGAAATCTTTCCCAACCCTCCTTAATTCTAGTGCCTTCCCTCTATTAATTAACTCCTATTTATCCTGTATGTAGCTTGCTTTGATATATTTGTTTGCATGTTGTCTTCCCTGTTAGATTATAAACTCCTTGAAGGCAGGGACTGTCTTATACCTCTTTTTGTATCTCTAGTGCTTAGCACAGTGCCTGGCACATAATAGGTGCTTAAAATATGTTTATTGAATTGAATTGAATCTAGTTGATTTCAGGGAGGTAACATTGGACGTGTTACAGTTTTCTGTTGGGCTTTTTGGACAGTCTTGAATCTGGTTTTCCTTGCCTCCTGATGCAAATTCTGTCATCAGCTGTTCCAGGCGCACCATTAGGATATTAATGGAAAGACAAGAAGAAGTTCATAAAGTCCCTTGGTGGAAAGGGAGAAAGCAGATAGAGACTGAGGCTGTAAAGCTCTCCTCCTCCCCTCCAACTGATTCCTTCTGGAGGGTTTAGATGGAAGACTCTCTTCTTTATGTTCCAACTATTAGGGTTCTCAGTTAGATCCCTGGTTTTATATAAACCCCAGGGGGCATTACCAAGTTTCCTCAGCTAATCAGAAAACAGTTCTGTGCAACCTAGTTGACCAGTTTTGAAAGCACCATAACATTTCCCAAATTCAATCCAGTCTCATCTCCTATTACCACTAAATTCTTTTTTTTTCTTTTTATTTTTTTTAGGCAATTGAGGTTAAGTGACTTGCCCAGCGTCACACAGAGGCCAGATTTGAACTCAGGTCCTCCTGACTTCAGGGCTGGTGCTCTATCCACTGGGCCACCTGGCTGCCCCTTACCACTAAATTCTTTATAAATTCTAAGATCCTTGTCTTAATGAAGTATTTTGGTATAATGTGAATATGCATATTATACATTAGAGGCAGCTAGATAGTGTATTAGGTAGAGTGTTGGGTTTAGTGTTAGGAAAGCCTGAGTTTAAATCATCCCTTAGAAACTTAGTCGCTGTGTGACTCTGAACAAGTCATTTTATCTCTCAGCCTCAATTTCTTCATCTGGAAAATAAAGATAATTAAAAAAAACACAACTAGTTGCTTAAGGAATTTTTTTCTTTTTTTAGTCTAAAGCTTATGATTATTTGTTTTTGATGTGTTCTTATCTGGCTGAGGTAATAGGACATTTTATCATTTATTTTAAATGGGGTATGATAATTTTATTTATTTATTGTTTTTTTTTTTAATTTTTTATTTTTAGGCATTTGGTGTTGAGTGACTTGCCCAGAGTCACACAGTTAGTAAGTGTCAAGTGTTTGGTCTGAGGCCAGATTTGAACTCAGGTCCTCCTGACTTCAGGGCTGGTGCTTTATCCACTGCGCCACCTAGCTGCCCCTAATTTTATTTACCCTAATTTTATTTACTTATTCAGTCAACCTCCCTCCAACTCCTTCCATCTTTCTTTGAATTCCTCATATTCATTGAAAATATCAGTTTTAATTGGTCTGCAGGACATATTCACAGATTTTCCTTTTTTTATGTGTATTTTTCACTGAAGATTTGAGTTTACATTTTTTTCAAATTCTCAATTGAATATTTAATGAAAAGTAACCACAACAGTGGATTATTTTTCCAGGCAGATGAATCACAAAATTATTATTTATTTTTGTAGTGGCAGTCAGGTTATATGGTATTTGCTGTATTTTGTCCTAGTGAATTGGTTTAGAAGAGTAAACCCTGGAATCAGATCTGTTTCCAGGGCTTGCTTCTGAGGCATAATGGCTATGTGACCTTGGGCAAGTCATTTCTCACCTTTCTAAGGTGGTATGTTACAGTTGATGGAGAGAGTTTCTATACTGAGAATTTCCCAGCTGATAAAACTATTAAAAAATAAGCAAATTACAGATTTTAAAGAGGTGAGAACCACTGGGCCACTTCCTAGGGCCAGATGTTCCATGGCATGAATGGATAAACAGCGTTTATGAGGCTATTACTATGTGCAAAGCATTATTTTAATATAGAAAAGTCTCTGCTGTCATGAAGCCCCCATTCTAATAGGAGAAGACTGTATATCTAGGAGGTTTCAGCTTCAAGTCAGATGGAAAGGCACCGTGGTCCATAGGGAGCAGCAGCAGGGCAGGTGGTAATGCCATGCCCTTTGGTGGCGAGAACTTTTTCTTCTGGGTTTTTGGCAACTGTGATTGCGAGTAGGCAGGGAATGCAGTCACCTACAGAGATGGTTTCTAGTTTGCATCTCCTCCAGGGTTATTCCCTTGGATGATGACTATTGAGGGTTGGCTAGAACCAAAGCCAGTGGGGTCAGGGTGGCTCTGGTATCCTGGGGTTCTTGGGTTTCCCTGCCCACCAACACTTGGTGGCCGTAGGAGTCAGGCTGAAAGCAGGGCCAGTGACCTTGGGAAAGGGATGCTCCAGTTCCTGGAGTTCTTGGACTTCTCCCCCTGGGCCTGAGGGGAGGTGGTGGGTGAGATTGTGGCAGTAGTTTGACCCGCCTAATACTCCGCTTGTCCCAAGAGTCTTGAATAATTCTCACCAATGACTTCTGAGTCTTTTTGCTGGTCTTCTGAGATGATGGGCTGCGGTCTAATCCTTGACCAGTCTGAGCATTTCAGATAATGCTCTCTGTTAATAACTTACCTACTTTTTTTTTAATATTTCTCCAGGATGACTGAGAGTTGCAGGAAGTAGAACATCTCTTTGGTGGCCACTAGCTATCAGCATGAAACATCTTTTGAATCCCTTCACCCTAATTTCATCTTTGATGCTTCTAACGGAACAGTGGCAGTAGGAGGGGAAGATGTCATCTCGTCATCTTAGCAGGTGGTTGGAATACACTTCAGGCTGGCCCACCTCTGCTACAGTGCTGTTGAGGCTGGGCATGTGCATTCACTGGGGCTCCTGGAGGACCTGGGCTCAAGGCCCGTTCTTCTTAGAGTTTTCCCATGTTTAGTTCTTGTGCAAGGAAGGGTCACCATTTCCTCATTCAGGCAGCTTGAGAGTCTTCTTGGGGAGTGACCAGATACCTCCAAGATGAATTGGAATTATTTTTAACTACACTTGGAGGAAACAAAAGTGATTCACTCAGCTGGGAACAAGTTGGTGAATTCCCTGTTGGTCATTTTGGCTTTAACTTCCTGCATGAACCCCTGAAAAACTGAAGCTGGGTGTCAGTTTCTGTCTCCTTCCTCTGTGTGCCTCTTCCCTATGGCCTTGCACAGATTCATATACTCTCTCCCACAGCCCCATACCCCTCTTACCTCAATTGGCAATGCAGCCGTATTTCCATTTATACTGTAGCTTTCATCCCCAATTTCACCTTATCCCTCCGCTAATTGTCCCCTCACAGGGGTTGGTAATTTTCATCTCCATCTTCTGATTCCAAGATGCCTTGAATTTGGCCAGGACTAATTGGGTGATTGATAGGGAAGAGCCAAAGGGGTGCAGTTATCCACCTCCACTAGTGTGCCTAACTGTTCCATAGCTCTAGAACTAACCCTCCCAGTCTAGAATGTTTTGATTTTTTTATATAATTTATGCCTCTTTTATACCATGAGCTAATTTTGTCAGCAGTTTTTGTTAATTAGTAAATTCTAGGGGTAAAAGAACACAAAACAACTCACTGATTTCAGTGTGTGATTCTTAGTTTGAGTCAGGTCAACAAGCATTTATTAAGTGCTTGCTATGTGCCAGTAACTATACTAATCTTCCTTAGTTTCAGGATTCTGTTCGTTGAAAGTGATTTCTAAGTGTTGGTGCTGCTGACTAGCCAGTTAATATGCTACAAAAAACAGAATCTGAACTAGGTTGAAATCCACTCTTCCTGAAAAAGGAGCAGGGCCCAGGTGGGGTCTTGGGCATCTCCATAACTTAACCTTTATCCAGAACATTCTGAGAGTATCAGTCAGTCAGCACACATTTAAGTATCTACTCTGTGCCAGGTATTACACTAGGTCAGAGAGATATAAAGGCAAACTTTGGAATTGGAAGTGACCCTAT